CCACGGAGGCCTGGCTAAGGAGCAGGGATCTACTTTTAGGGGAGATGTGATGCCTCAGAGTTTTGAGCAGAGGAAAGATATGATCTAACACAAATGTCTCTATTTTCTGGAGGAGACTATAAAGAGGCAAGGGTAGAAGCAATTCCAGCTGTGCCTTGGTATGTGAAGGTCACTGGTTACATAAATCCAGACGCTCAAGCCCCTCAAAGGAAAAGGCATAGTACTTGCGTATAACCTCCTGTATCCATTACACCATCTCCAGATTACTTATAATACCAACTACAGTTAAAGGTCATGTAAGTAGATTTTATGTTACTGTTTAGGGAATAATGATAAGAAAAAAACTCTGCACTTGTTTAGTTCAGACACAATCCTGTAAGCCTAACAATGTAGCTTATATTTTTGAACTGGGGTTGGCTGAATCATAGGATATGGTACCCACAGATCAGAGGGCCAACTAACGGTATGAAGAAACACAGTAACTAGTAGTAGCAATAGTGGAGGAGATGGTGACAAGTGATTAGATTGTGAATATATCCTGGTGGCAGGGCTGACAGTACCTCCTGGCTGTATTATGGAGCTTGAAAGCAGAAATAGTCAATTTGCATTGTTGCCTTACAATTATTGATCATTAATTTGAAATGATGCTCCTGACACATACCAGGTATTGGTCTTGAGATGCATATTGAGTTTAGTTTACTTCTATTTTGCTGTCATTTACTGCACTTTCCTTTTCATATTTGAGGACCTCACGTTCAGAGAACTGAATTAAAATGTGTCTTGTTTATGGAAGGTCATTATCACTAAGACAGGCAAGCCCTATTTTAATTTTCTTTTAAAATTTTAACCTTTCATCTGTGATTCTTGTTCCTCTTCACCTATTGCTTTTAGTACACAAGAGAATATATCTGATACTTGTCCTTGCGTATTTATTGTTGAAGAAAATGTGGTTGTTTGCAAATTAATACCTAAAATTTTGCATAAACATATGCTATAGATTATATTTTTCTTTTTTGAAAATAACACTATATTTTTAAGAATTAAAAACAAAACAAAACTGGGCAGAGCCCTAAAAAGCACAAAATATAACTCTTGGAGTTGCGTTTTCTACCAAACAGAAATCCACTGCAATTTATCAATCTGCTCTAAGTTATTTAACCTCTAACTTTAGAAAGACTGGCCCCTAATCAACAGTAGGAACTGAGTCAAATAACCTCCCCTAGAACAAGGGTCAACAGACTTTTTCGGCCTAGGGCCAGGCAACAAATACATTAGGCTTGACAGGCCATATGGTCTCTGTGATGATGACTTGATGTGCAGTTTTAGTATGAGAGCAGCTATCAACAGTAAGTCATGACTGGGCATGGCTGTGTTCCCATGGAATTTTCTTTATATGTAAGAGGACTTGGGCGTGACTTAACCAATAGGACGTAGAACCCCTCTGTCCTAGAACATCAGATGGTTCTCAGGCTGCCCAGTTAGAAAGTCCCCTAAGCAAACTTTGAAGATACCTGAAATGATATTTTTGCTTTATTTCCAAGTTTTAGGGAAATTTCTAAACAGTCCTCAAGTCTTCAACCCTAAATTCCAGATTTCCCCCTACTATGTAAGGTGTGTAAGGTGTCTTTGGGCTTCAATTAAGAAACAAGTACAGGGCCTCCCCTGGTGGCGCAGCCGTTGAGTGCTGGGCTGCGAAGCTGCCGGCAGCCTCTGCAGTGCCAGTTCGATCCCCAGCCACCGGGCGAGGGTCCCACATGGCACGCAGACCTCTCCTGCCGCCCGCTGCTCCCCTCAGCAGTGTACTTCCGTCCTTCTGCCTGCTCTGCTCCCCGTTCTGGCTCTGGTGGATTCTCTCTCACCCTCCTGCGCTTCTGACTGTACCCAGTACTTATATAAATAAATAAATAAATCTTTTTTTTTTTTTTAAAGATTTTTTTTTTTAATAGAGGCATGCTTTTCTTTATTTATTTGTTTGCTTGTTTGTTTTGTTTATACATGCACTGGGTACAGTCAGAAGCGCGGGAGGGTGAGAGAATTCACCAGAGCCAGAGCAAGGGGCAGAGCAGGCAGAAGGACCAAAGTACACTGCTGAGGGGAGCAGCGGGCGGCAAGAGAGGTCTGCGCGCCATGTGGGACCCTCCTCTGGTGGCCGGGGAGCAGCCGGGGATTGAACCGGCACCGCAGAGGCTGCAGGCAGCTTCGCAACCCAGCGCTCTACCGCTGCACCACCGGGGAGGCCCAATAAATAAATCTTTAAAAAAAAAAAAAACAAGTACAACTCTATTAAAGAAAGAATATTGAGACAAAGTTACCACGAGCATTTCTTAATATTTTGCAGGCTGGTTTGCTTGGTCTGGGAAAACATTCTAGAAACTCACTCTGTTTTTCTACTGCCTCTAGGAATCCCCATCAGCGGACTGTTAGAAACACATGATCCAGACACTTCTACGATATGTGCCTCCACTGGAGGCACGATCATGATGGTGTCATGTGACCCATATACATCACCTACAGGACGTCAGCGTGCAAAGCTTGAAGAACCAATGACCTACAAGATCTCTGATGCATTCAGCTCTTTCAAAAGCTGTTTGATGCACAATGTTAAAAAAAAAAGCCAAGTTGAACACAATCCTTTTTAACACAATGGAAATTATCTGCTCTCTCAAGATACATTCTTATTATCTTGACTCCTTTTAGGTTGGAAGTAAGATTTACATAGGCCTATATTTAGCTCATAAAGTCTCATCCATAACAGGTGACTGCCACAGAACAAAATGCTAGAAGTATATTCCTTGTAAGACCAGGTTCTGATTAATTATTGTATCCCTACTGTGGGCTAAGCACGGTATCAGACACTGCAGTTACAAAGCTGAACACAGCCAAGTGCTTATTCATAAAGTGATTAGTCTATCAGGAGAAATACACTGCTGTATGAGTAAATGCAGTCAAGGGCAGTCTGTTCGAGTAGTTCAAGCTGAGTGTTAATGGTTTCAGAAATGGTTAGTAGGCAAGGGGAGCCTGAAAGGAATTATGGGGCTAGTTAATTCCTAACATTATCAAATCAAGTCTAAAAATTAAATGACAGTGTATAATATAGGCAAATGGGAATTGAAGGAAAGAGGAATAAGACAATGATGAGATGATTTATTACTCACAGTTTTTGCAGAAATGATGCCTATGACTGTAAAGATCTTTCCTGTCAACTTCTCTCCTAAGTTGCTTCTGGAAGATTTAAATTGTCTATTAACTCCCAATGTCTGCTCTATTACAGCTGCATTCATTTGTGTCTGTAAATTATATCTTCCTCGTGCCAGCTGGTTTTCTAATTTTTCAGTTTCCAGAAACTTATAAACAGAAGGCAATCTGATAAAAGGAACTTGGTATCATGTGATGGTTGATACAATAAAGGAATGCTGTTGTTGCTTAATCAAGATAGATTCCTATTCTTAAATATTCCTAACAGGAAACAAAGTTGCTATGTAATGTTTGAGTATGCCTGAAAGGTTCACACTCAATAAAGTTTCCTATACTATTTATAGAAATGTGCATACAGCACATTATTTCTACTTTTTATTTATAGGGTGGTAAGTTATCCTATAAGAAATCTATCTGACAAATTCTAATCCATAATGTGGCTACTACAAATTTTTAGGTAGTTTCAAGGAAAAAAAAATGAATCAGAAAGGAAGAAAATAGTGAGAAAACATGTAACAAACTAAAGTTTCCCTTAGAAAACAATTTTTCAAGTGAAATGTAATTTTCTCAAACTGCTGCATGACCATACACAAACCACATGGATCACCACTATATGGTACTTCAATAGTTACCAAGAAAGGAGAAAAAACATTATTTAAAGACAAATATTAGGCAGTATCTTCATAGTGAAAGTTGGGCAAAGTGTTTTGGAAATTTTTAGAAAGGTTCACATAATAGAGTAATTCAGTAGTTCTGAATTACTTACATAATTACAGGTTAGTTTTATCTATGAAAACCAAATACAGTTCTAGGTATTAGAATGTAACCAATAATTATAAGAGTACTATACCCAAGGAAGATGCCTTTCTTGATGGCAAAATGACAGAGAAATGTAAACTAAAATTACACAGCTTTGAAAGGGAGCCCACCATATTTCCCTGATTTAAATAAGCTGACAAGAATAAAACTGCTGGAGTTTATAAAACAAATGAACGATAATAATAGAGAAGATACAAGAATTTTCCAAAATACCATGCAAGAGTGAAATATAGCTCTTCTTGAAAAGCTTACAACAATGTTAGTTAAAAGGTAAATTTTCACAGGCAATAAAGGCTAACAAGTTAACCTGAAAAAACATGGTTACTACTGTGACTTTAAAACATGTCTGCAAATTCTTCAACGCCTGTCCTTTCAAATGATGGGCCAGACTTAATGGCTCATTTTGAATGAAGAGAGTGATACTGTGTGACTCCAGGACCAGGCCGTAAGAAGAATACAGCTTCTGCCTGGTTTGCAAACTCTCCCTCCCTCAAGGTTGCCAGGGCTCAGGACCCAGGCACCAGGCTGTGAGGAAGCTCCGCTGCTGGTGAAGGTGGGTGTCCCAGCCTCTGCAGGACCCCCTAGGCCACACCAGCATCTACCTATTTCCAAGTGCACACTGCACACCCCTTTATGATCTTTTACCAGTTTATTCACAGTAAAGACAAAGACAAGGGTTTGCCATGCGTGCCTGTGGCTCTGCAGGGCTCCTCCATCCCCTCCTCGTGGCCTGCAGGTGTGGGCGCCCAGATGGGCCGCACATGTCCTTCAGCAGCTCACATAGAGAAGTCCGCTCCTAAGGCTGCTATTCTGTGATGGGCAGAGATGTCTGAATCAGTGTTATTTTTAAAAGGTTACAAAGGCCATAGTGAAAAGAATAAAGACATCTAATTGTTAGTTTACTCGTCCGGTTTAGGGAGAACTGAGCTCGAACTTCTCTGACAGTGTTCTGTCACCTGTGTTGAGACTGACACCTTTCAATGATTTAAAATTTTGAAATGTTTATTGACAAGGTAATAACTGTTTTTGAAATTAAGCAGTTTAACTGAGAATTAAGTAATTCTGTCCACACGCATTCACATTTAATTACTGCTGTAAGAAGATACTCGCCATTTCCCCAGTTTCAATCTGAACGCGTAACTTACGGTAACGCGCTGCATTTCCAGCACAGACGTCCAGCTTGCTGTGCAGCTCCAGACCAGCCACTGCAGCTCTGTCTTCACCCACACTTAACATGCTTATGAATACCTTTTTTAACCTACCTTCTACATAAGTAGGCTCAAGATTTATGTGAAAACATTCTAGGAAGCCGCTAAAGAGACATAAGGCAAAATATGTAAGGTTTTATTAGATTTAACTATTTTCTCATATTTCATGATTTTTGAAGATTACATACATTCAGGACTATAAATCTAGTAGTTACATAAAGTGATTTAATGTAGTAAAGCTAGTCACAATAATAAACCCATTCATCCAGATTCTTTAATAATATTAGGAAATAAGAATTATAAAAATAGGTAAAATTCCGTGAAAATATTCCTATTTATTCTAGCTTAGAGGAGTTCTTGCCCATGTCAACGGACTGTCTGGCATCAGCGACGGCTTCAGGCACTCGGACAGTCATATTGTTCATGGACTTTGTCAAGCAGACTTGGCAGCCCAACCGGGATCTGTACAAACAGGGAGACAGGGGGATTAATATTAAGCACACAGACACATACATTCACAAAGCAATATAGCTGTTCAGGACAGCTTCTTACCCAGAGCACTTACAAATTTATGTACCTTTTAATTTTTCAATGAGTTCGAAAAAAAATACATCCAACTCTCACCTAGAAGGTAACAAATGTCAATATGTAAAAACAAAGCCTGGCATGCCAAAGCTTCATTTGAGGTTTTGATTTCTATCATCCACCAACTGTTTCACCAGAACAACTGCTGATAAGCAATGAAATAATCAGAAGTCACAACCATGGAAATACTAGTAGAATTATTACCAATTTTATTACTTTGTATTTTTCCTTTTTAACAGTGATATACAAATCTATGTCTAGATAAGCCTAAATAGCTCTTTGAATATTACAAAACAAGTGAAAATTTTGCACATTATAATAGGCAGTGTCCGTTAGTCAATCAAAACATTTTTGATTTTATTGAAGTCATGCCCAGGTCATGGTTTCATTAGCAAATTCTCAAGTATTCCCTGAGCATCTAGAGGCACCATACTAGACATTAGTGGGCATACAAGGAAGAGGACTCACTTCAGTCCTTGCTGCAGACCTCCTGGGTGTGGGTGTCGTGCATGCAACATGCAGCAGGGTTCAAGCCAGAGAGAGTGGTGGCAGAGCCAAGCACTGAACGTGGCACCTTCAGACCCCTTCTTAATCCTAACTAGTTTCTTATCCTTGTCCAAAAGCAGGTCCTCACACAAGAGCTGTGGGTGAGTAGTTATTATCAGTATTAAAAGGGAAACTTTCAAACAAGTAGGAGAGGTGAGACACATCAGATAACTAACATGGGAGACTGGGACAAAGGCCACGAGGAGAATGCCAAAAGCTCTGAGGAGAAAACACTTCTAGCCAAAGGAGATGGGGATTAGAAGAGGTTTGGAAGGATTCAATGTATGATAAAAAAAATACAGGAAAAAGACACTTTAGACAAAGCTAACAGGGATTTAAGGCACATTTAAGGCACATGTGGGTTTTGAGCTCGGTGACTGTGCAGGGCAGTCAATGACAGAACCATGGGCTGGAAGGAGGTCAGGCCACACACAGCTTTCATCACCAATGAAAGATTTAGGTTTTAATTGGTGAGCAATGGGGGACTGCTGCTTAAGGAAGTATAACCACAGGAAATATTGATTGCCGATCAGTCAATCAGAAACAGCTTTATTGACAACAAACACTCACTTATGCATTTGGTTCTGTCTGCAAGGAAGAGAATGAGATAGGGCAACTTAGACAAATTTATTAGGACCGAGGTGAGCTCTGGTGAGAATGCTGGTTACACTTGGTGTTCATATGAAATGTAATATAATGTGAGTGTCCAAGAAACTTTTAATTTAGAGAAAAAGAGATGGAAACAGCTACCAATGAAACAGGGCAGACACAGTGAGTGTTATGGGAACGCTGGAGCGGGGTGGTAGCACCAACATTTTTCTGACTACCACTTTAGAAGGTAAGGCAGATATGCTCTGCGACTGTTTTCTTACTCTTCTACTCCTGCTGAGTCTTTAAAGGTCCCTGGTTCTGAGTCTGCCAGGGAAGACTGGTCTCATACCAGTAGAGAAGGAGGCAGGCAGCCTCGATTTCATTATTAGCCCCACAAAATTCTGACATTTGTGCAAACCCTGATGATATTTTCTCCAATCACCCCTGCCATATGTACCTAGCAGTGGAAATATACTGGGTGTTGTGTTTACTTTTACTTATAAGGTTTGGTTTTCAATTCCAAGAAGCAGCTTGAAACAGTAAATATACCATAACTGATTCAAACCAGGGCTCTGTCATTCTCTAGCTCAGTGGCCATGAGCAAATAAATCTCCAAAAACTGAACCTTGCTTTCCCACTATAAAATGTTGATACTGCTGCCTTAACCCTGAAGGTTAGAGATAATCTTTGTTAAGTGTCTAGATTATAGTTAAGACCAGCATATGAATTGATGTTATTATAGCTGTAATGCTAGTAACTACCATTTAATGAATACTTTCTTCACCAAACACTATTTTAAGAGCTTCACGTACATTCACTCATTGACTCCACACAACAACCCTATGCTATTATCATCCTTTTCTTACAAATACAGAAACTCAGGCCCCTGCCAGGGAAACTGGCAGCAAGGAGCAATGACAATCATCAAATATAAAGTCACAGAAAATTCTAGAATCTGCCTACCAGAAATTCCAGAGTGGGGGATGCCCTAGTATGAGCCAGGCCCTGGAGCTACAAAGATGAGATGAGACAAGGTGCCAGATCGGTGGCACAAAGGAGACAATGGCTGCATGTGAGCCCTGCATCACCAAGGTGGACCACACCCTCCATAAACACTTAAATAATGGTGTTTAATCTTTAAAATTAGACAAACACAGCTCTTAAAGTAAATGCATGAACTATATGATGCAAATTTGTTTTGGTGTTATATGGTATCCTAGAAATAGGAGTTTATAAGCAGTTACTAGCTTTGAACAAAGTTATTTATGTCAGTGTTTTATAATGCTACCCGTGAACAGCATTACACTTTCTCCAAAAAACATCATACAAAAATTCTATGATGAGGGCCTCCCTGGTGGCTCAGGCTGTTGAGCGCTGCACTGTGAAGCTGTCCGCAGCCTCTGCAGTGCAGGCTCGATCCCGGCCGGCCGGCAAGAATCCCACATGGTGAAGCAGACCTCTCCTGTCTTGCCCGCTGCTCCCTTCAGCAGTGTATTTCATCAGTCTGTTCCCCTGTTCTGTTCCCCGCTCTGTCTCTGGTGAATCCTCTCACCCTCCTGTGCATCTGGCCTGTACCCTGATTCTTGTATAAATAAATAAATCTTTTATAAAAAAAATTCTATATACTTGAGAACCCATGATAAAATGCTATAAAAGTTATTCTGCATTCTCCATAATTTGGTTCTAAAACTTTTGAATTTCATTATCAAAATTAATGGCTAGTCTACATATTAGAACAGATCTTCTGTAACTTTTTACATTCTTGTATCTCTGCTAACTGATGAGGAGAACTTTCCTCTAAAGTTCTTTTTCTTTTCACTTAGAATGGTACCTGTTGCAAGCATTTAGCTATGATTAGGAGACATACAATTCTGAGAACCAAATTAATATAATCACTGCATATATACTGTGTGTGTTATCTTCTAGGGGGAAAAAAGGAGGTATGGACTGGTAATGTGGCAGCTACAGATGTGAGGGGGACAGGCAGATGGCAGTCAGAATCTGATTTGCATCAAATTCTAAAGGGATGTTATTTTCCTAGTTTCTCTTCCCAGGGTATAAGTATCACCTTCACCAAGGGGAAAATGAACTACAAATGAAATAAAATGATTTTTGATCTTTAAATAAAAACCAATAACCTGAAATTTTTCGTAAAGACTAGATGAGATAGTTTATGTTAAAGGTCTAACAAAATTGTGGTTACATAATACACATGAAATAAAACCATTACTTTCTTTTAATTTTTTTAAAAAATTATTTTTCATGAAGGTCATCAAGTCAATTGACCAAAGTCAATTTTAATTAAGCCCTCATCTTGCCTCTTGTAACAGTAAATCACGTTATCTTTCTTAACTCCAACCAAAAAGGATAAATTTATAAAAATAAGGTATCACCTGCTAATACAAATCTTACCACTTTTAAAAGTAATTCTATCTATTAATAACAAGAATAAGCTCTGATTAAGTTACCTTAATGTACACTTAGAAATAATCCTACTGAAATAGAACTATTCATTTTAATATAATTATCATTATAAATTAAGTTTCTTCAAAAACTCTGTTCTCTCAACTAGGTAAAACTTTCCATTATCATTTCACTCAATTATCAAATCTATCTTTCAAGAATACCATAAAAAGTACTCAATTTAATTCCAACTCACTAAGTTGTAATAAATATTAATTTCTGGTCTAAAAATAGACTGAAGATTTATTAGGACTTAGAATACTTCCAATACCACTAATTATTTTTCTACTTTTCGTAGTAGAAGGAAAAGTTTCATAAAGGCTAAAGTGCAAAATAGTGAATATATTCTAGTGAAATGCCACATGCTGATACTGAAGATGGGTGACCCCTCTGTGTAGGGAGATCACTCTTCCACTCGTGGGTCTGTAGAACTCTCCTCCTCCTGGATTACCAGGACAAGTGAAGTGGGTTCCCATCTTACCTATCCGTTAGTCCATAAGCCAGATCAAGCATGTCATTCTCCTCATCAGTGACTGCTTCCAACTTCTCATATATGTGCTTTTCAAAGATGAGGTGACACGTGGAGCAAGCCAGGGTTCCCTCACATGCACCTACAAAAGCAACAAATAATGAGCATAGGCCCCTCTACCTTAAACACAATTTAAATCCGATCTGAATTAAAATCAGTTACTTTGCAGTTTTAGAATCAGCATTAGCATAAATCAATCATAAGCAGTAATAGTGAGAATCAGAGACACTCCCCTCCCCTTCCACAGTGTGAAATCGTGGCTACATACTCTTTCAGTAAGGCCCCAGGTTAGGTATCATGAAGGGAAAACAAAAATATACAATCTAAACATCAAAGCACTTCCAAGTTAAACTGAGACACATATATACATATTAAAAAAAAATAAGAATTTTAAAACTCATCGTAATGATTTACATAGTCACAGCAAGTTATCTACTTTTACCTAGACAGCTCAATCTACAAAGTCTTGTGGTGTATATATATATATATATGGAATTAGATCAACCAAACCTGTGTATAAATAACATTAAATATTCTCAATCTTCCCCAGGAACCAGGGCAGAATCAAGAAAGTTATTTGAAGAATCATACTTGTTTTAAATAACAAGATAAAAAAAGGGGACAGGAGGGCCTCCCTGGTAGCACAAGGGATTAAGAGGCAACCTATGAAGCTATCCGCAGCCTCTGCAACACGTGTTTGATCCCCAGCAGGCCAGGGAGCGACCCACATGGTGCAGCAGACCTCTCCTGGCTCACCTGCTGCTCCCCTCAGCAGTGTACTTCAGTCAGTCTGCCTGTTCTGTTCCCCACTCTGTCTCTGGTAAATCCTCTCACCCGCCCCACACCTCTGGCCTGTACCCCAGTTCTTATATGCATAAATAAATCTTTAAAAAAGGGGAGGACAGGAGAAATATTCTTATTAACTGTTATTTGTTATACACCAGGCACAGCAAAAGGGAACTGAAGTCGGCTAGTCCCACCACAGACTGAACCTGTCTGCAACCACCTTTCCTGGAGTTTTCACTCGAAAAACTACACCTGGTGGAGTTGACCCTGTACCTCTAAATCATGTATAATTTGTAAACCAATGTTACCTCAGTAAAAGAAATAAATCACAGCAGGGATTACTAATTTTTTTAGCAAAACTGCCTATTTCATACAAAAAGACTAAATAAGCCAGCCAGTGCCCACCTTTGGCTTTAATGAGCTAATCTGTCCTTCTGAAATTTCCTCCTGCTGACTCAATCCTATCCCCTGGATTCCAGTCCTCATCCTCCCACACCCTCCCCCACTGTTAGTGAGGTACAGTTGACAAACAGATTTGGAAGGTATCTAAGTGTACATGATGATGATGATCTAAGTGTACACTGGAAAGGGGTTCCTCCTACCTAGTTAATTAACACCTCCATCACCCCACATTACATATGTACTTTTTAGTGTATGGCAAGTTCTACTCTCAGCCAATGTTGATTAAAGAGAACAGTATATTATAGTCAGCATACCACACACTGAGATCCTCAGACTGTATTCATCTTACAGCTGAAAGTTGGTACCCTTTGACCAAGCTCTCCCTCTCCCCACCCCCACCCCCACCCCAACCACTTTTCTATTCTGTTTTTATTAATTTGATTAGTGAAATCCGTCTAAACAATAGCTTTTCACATATTTGAACCATGCTCCCTTCTCCAGGTTGAGTACACACAGGTCCTTCCACGTGTCTGGCTTAAATAACCGAGCTCTAAAATCCCTCCCCTCAGTCTGGTTGGGCTTTACTTAAAATATGGCATCCAGAGGAGGACCTGAAAAAACAGAATCACACAAAATCATGTTCTGGTTAAATTCTACCTTAAAAATAGTTATTCTGGTTTGTTTTTTAATAATAAATCTTTAAGCCACTATACAACTGGGGAGATTTGAGTGCGTGCAATATGGTCTCAATCATCTTGGAATGGAGAGAAAAGTTCTGTGCCAATAAATCCCTGTGGAAAAATGCAGGACATTCCTTTCTGTACCACCTGGTCAGCTGCAATGAAGAGGTACATCCATGTTGCAGCTCCCCACATCCTTTAAACTCTCTCTTCCCTAGGAAACTTCAATTCTTTCACCTCTTAAAACTTTTTATTTTCGTTCTCTAGTAATTTTCACTGCTCCTCTCAGGAACCTTGCCAACTGTTTCCACATCTTGCTTATGTTGCCAAGCCCAGACCTGAAGAGAGTATTCCAGTAAGAATTTGACAAATGTTGAGTAGACATGAAGGTGAACTTCTCATTCCGACATGCTGAGTTCCTGTTACACAGGCCAGCCCTGGATCTATTCCTGAGGTGAGTGTGCCACGTTCACGACCCCTCCCTCTTCTAATGGTCCCTTTCAAACTTCTGCCACAAGCTGTCAACAGATATGCTTTTCTTATTTTTTGCAATGGGAAGAAATTCAAATATAATAAAAACTTCAAGGCTCAGAAAGGAATCCACTCAGCCTACCCGAGATGGCCAACAGTGAACCAGAGGAATGTAACGGTCACACTGTAGCACAAGTGCTGCTACAGGAAGAAAATGCAGCCAAGATTTATAGACCCATATGTAGCACTGACGCGAAGAAACACTCAATCCTGCAAAACTCTAAAACAATGACACCATGAGCAGTTTGGGCAGGCCTTTTTTAAAAAAAGAAAAAAAAATTGAGATTTAACCTATATGTTCTATAAAAAAGGAAGAATTTTTAACAGTGAAGACCTGTTCCTAAAAAAAGATATTTCTGAGGAAAAAATTTTTTAAAGAGTCTAAAACTGAGAAGAGGTTATGTAAGAAAAACAGTGACTCCTTTTTTGTTCTTTTCATCTCATAAAAAAATTGCTGACTTCTGGGCCTCCCTAGTGGCACAAGGGGCTAAGCACCACACTATGAAGCAATCCACAGCCTCTGCAGCACAAGTTCAATCCCCAGCTCGCCAGAGAGAAACCCACATGGCGAAGCAGAACTTTACTCTCTTGTCTGCTGCTCCCCTCAGCAGTGTATTTCTGTCAGTCTGCCTGTTCTGTTCCCCACTCTGTCTCTGGTGGATCCTCTCACCCCCCTGCATCTCTGGCCTGTACCCCATCTCTTGTATACATAAACAAATAAATCTTTAGAAGAAGAAAAAAAAATTTGCTGACTTCATGATAGCTATTCCCCACAATTTAATAGTTTCCTAGTATTACAGTAGTTCCCAATAACAAGCACCTGAGTTTTTGGCCTACAGTTCTATGAATTTTAACATTTAACACAGCATAGGTTCGTATAACCACCACTACAGTCAGGATACAGACATTTCATTGCCCCCAAAATTCCTTTCTCCCTAGACCCTGGCAAACACTTATCTACTCCATTCTCTACAGTATGCTGTGCTTTGTAACAGTGTGACAAATAAGTAGGATCACACAGGCACCTTTGCAGATTGGCCTCTTTCACTCTGCCTTTAAGACTCATCCAAGTGTGCATGATGGCAACTTGTTCATTTTTACTGCTGAGAAATATACTATTGTAGTGATATATCATAGTCAATTTCTGGTAGGTATGTGCTGGTACTGCATTGTTGCTTTCACTCCAATTTTCCGAAAATTAGCACTGATATACGTGTGTGTATTTCTTTCCAAAGTCAGATGGGAGAATATATCATTACCCTTTCTCTTACCCATTAAAGAAAGTTACAAATGGCAGAGTTGTGCATGGGTCCAAGTTCAGATCCACCTACCCTGAATAGCTTTCCATGTGCTTATTTGGCATCTCTAGTAGTCTCTCTTGTGAAATGTCCATGTCTTTTGCCCATTTTTTTAAATTGAGTTGTTTTCTTACTGTTGAATTTTGAGAGTTCTTTATTAGAAATATAGGTCCTTTACTAGACATGTTTTGCAAGTATTTCATTCTCTAACACTGTCACTTGCAGAGAAAAAGATTTTAATTTTCACAAATTGGATTACAAATCCAATTCATAAATCTTTTATCTTTTATTGATTGTGGTTTTAGTGTCATGTTTAAGACCCCAAGTCCCAAAGGTTTTTCCCTCTGCCTTTTTTTTTTAGTTTTTAATAGTTTTAAGGTTTACATTTAGACTTAAATCAATTTTGAGTTAATTTCTGTATGAGGTTGAGGTTTAAGTTTTCTCCTTACTGTTCCCTGCTAGGGATGTCCAAGTATTCCAAAATCATACCCTTTGTGGAAAAGTATATCCTTTTTTCAGTAATTATCTTTATATTTCAGCCATAAATAACCAAGAGGTAGAAATAATTCAAATATCCATCAGTAATGAATGGGCAAAGAAAATGTGGTCTATCCACAAAATGCATTATTAGTATTATTTCACCATAAAAAGGAATGAAGTACTGATACATCTTACAACACTGATGAACCTTGCAAATATTATATTAAATGGAAACCAATCATAAAGACATGATTCCATTCATATGCAGTATCCAGAATAGGAAAATCTGTATTTACAAAAAGCAAACAAGTTGTTTCTCAGGTCTGTGAAAATGGGGTGTTGATGAATGATAGCCAAAACAATCCTGTGAGAATGGCTCATATCGAAAAGACCAGAAACAACAAATGCTGGCAGGATATGGAGAAAAGGAACCTTTGTACGTTGTTGTTGGGAAAGTAGACTGGCTCAGGCCCTATGGAAAACAGCATGAAAGTTCTTCAAAAGACTAAAAATGGATCTTCTGCATGACCCAGCATTCCACTCCTAGGAATCTACCCAAAGAACATGAAAACACCAACTCGGAAGGAAACCTGCACTTCCATGTTCATAGCAGCACTATTTATAACAACTACGATTAAAAAAAAAACAGATGCCCCAAAACAGAGAAGTGGATTAAGAAGATATATAGTTGCACACAATGAAAAGCTATTCAACTATTAAAAAAGACAAACGCACTCAATTGTGGCAACATGGATGGAGCTGGAAGGGATTATGCTAAGTAAAGTAAAGCAGAAGGAGAGAGACAAATACCAGACGATGTCACTTGTAAGTGGAATACAGAGAAATCAAACAAAAGGTCATATAAAACCAAACTGAAAAACTAACCCTTGAGAGCTGATTATAGA